CTCTCACTGTACTAACAACCCAGCCGCATGCTACGCTTGTCATGCGAGTTTTGAATACAAAGCATTCCAAGAGCCTGCGAATAGGTGCATTGGAATTGCTCGAGTCGCGGTCAGCCTGCTCCATGGAGACAAAACCTAAGTCGATGCAATCTCATTCATCTACTGATGGCTCTGTACGTTTTTTCGACTTGGAACACAAGAGTTAGGAATACCGACAGCGCAAGATTCATGATCAGAATTGCGCACAAATTGGACTCAAGCAATGCATTTTATCCTGCAGCACTTAAAGACGAAAATAATCACGAACTGGAAACAGAATGTGAAGGAATGTGGATCTTCAGCGTTGACCAACTATATAATTCAGCTGTGTCCGGTTACCTGTCGCAAGGACAACTTTAAGTCAACCCCTTAGTCAGCATACATGCAGTTAGTGTAGTTTAGCAGCGCCTTCATGAATCTCAGTAATAGCAATGCTAGCATCTTCAGGGAGTTGTCTGTAAAAACCCTTGAGAATAGCTACACACTCGACCGTCGCTCTACGCCCACAGAGCGCAAACACGACGTGGTAAAACAGAGTGACCTGCAGTTTGCAGTTCGGTGCTAAAGAAAATCCATTCCGACGTATTTCACCCTATAGGTAGGTGAATCTGTCTGACCATGCTCATGGTCACAGAACACGCATGGGCTGTCGGTTTAAGTTGTGTCACAATGAGACATGCAAGTTTCGCAGTGCTCAATTTGTCAAGGCTGATGAAAGCAAAGAAGCAACTTAGGTCGACTCGGAAGATTCAGAAATGTCTGAACTAAGCGGAACGCAAGCGTATGTCTCATCCGGCGACACGCGATGTGAATGCTCATCCAAATCCTACCTGAACGAAATGTTTTCGAAGAGGTTCCGCGAGGAAGCCTAGAGTCACACGTAGAAATGCTACAACTGCAGATGCTTTCAAACAACACTCGGCGATACACACACGGGCTTTTCTGTTTTCTATCATTCTAGCAACTCCGCTAGCTTATACAAGTCTAGGGTTAAGAATCGGTTCCTGACATTGTCACACCCCAGGATCACGTTGCTTCAGTCTAATTGGATGAGTAGAAGAGGAGACTGGACATGTAGGTAGTGCAGTGTGTACTCTTCTGCGTATATTGCAATTTCGGCTCGGAAGACGCATTAGATAGGACTCACCTTGTGCTTCCCACACTGATTAATCCAGTGTGGTTCGTAGACCAAGCGATCATCGGCTCGACAACAGGAGGGTTGGCCAGCACAGAGCACAGCAACCGGATCTTACAGCCAACTTTTTGTTTTGGCGAAAAAGGATAGATACGAACAATAGGAGGATCTGTGAGAAACAAAAAGAGACGCTTAGACAAAGTTATAGTGTGGGCAAACTGCTGCCAGATTACTCATGGCTAAACAGTGTGGGGGATTGAGGTCCATTGTTAAGTTATGGAATTTGTACCGCGTGTTTGGATTGTGACGTGGAATTTCAAACGGGATCAAGGCTCACTATGAAGTAAACCTCGACTAGGTTTTACAACCAAGAACTTTAGTCATAACAACTGACTGCAACCCAGTGGAAGTTTTACAGTCGGCTGAATGGGGTTTGTTTTACGGGAATAAGGATCCGCCCTCACCTCAACCCCTAACCTGGATGATCAGGAGACCGATCTTATCTAGCCGCTAATCAATAGCCAATATGATTGAGTGAGTCCGGAAGCTCAAGAATCCCCATCCGGAACAATTCAATGCATTGTTGAAGCACTCAAACCATCGGAGCATTTTAAAGTCCAGTCTTCTCACCACCAAATTATTTTTAAGCGGCAATCAAATAAGAGAGTAAATGATGCAATGAACTAAGAACGCCAGTTGTCGACACTTGATTTATGTCCCGAAGGTGCGTGTTAACAAACGATTAGATCGGACTGGCTGCAAGTAAACTCTCTAACTAATTAAGAAACCGCAAAACACAGGGGGCTTGCCAATTAACAACCAAGCAGTGCCGTCTATTTCGATGCGTAAAACTCTTAGAAGGCCGGTAGGATCTTACAGTCGTCAGACATTAAGGGAGGCTGTAAGACGTGTTGGCGTTGGATGGTGTCCGCGATATACTGTGACTCAAAATCCACTGGCGTCCAAGAGGTGTGACATGTGTGAGGCGGCGTTTCTGGATAACATGAGAAAAAAGCATGAAGACATAGATCCAATGACTGGAATGCAATGGCGCTGCATTCAACCGCAGGAGCTCACAAACACTGGCTGCAGTATCACCTCGTGGGGTGCAGCTTACGAAAGGAATGAAAAGAGCTCACCACTATCAAATGGTGATCCTTCTGTTTCGTTATTTCATCTGTTTTCCACTCTGTTTCGGAGAAATTTCTGTTCAACTTTCCAACTTATTGCTTTACTCATCTGATTCCGCAATCATCATGATAAAGCGGAAGCAACAGTGTCGACTCAACGGCGGTTTGATGACCATATTATCGTTGTTTAATCGAACTGGTAGGTTGCACTGCGCCTCTATTGTTGAGAATAAAATGTTTATTTATTTGAGGTTCATCACAGCCAACTTCCAAATCAGATGTCGTCCACATGCCCGGAAAAAGCATTAGACTGCAGTTTCAGCCTGTTGGGCATCATCAGTAGTGCGCATCCATCGGATTCATCAGGATTCGAACCCATGACAACCAGCGGCTCGCACCGCCAGTCAGCAACGTTCGTAACTTGCATGACAGTGGAGGATAAGACGCGCTATATCACAGTTAGCTTGTAAATCATGACGGTCCGAAGCTGTCCCCCGTGGCCCAGTGGCATAAGCTGCTGACTGGCGGTGCAAGCCGCCGGTGGTCATGGGTTCGAATCCTGATGGCTCCGATGAATGCGCACTACTGATGATGCCCAACAGGCTGAAACTGCAGTCTAATGCTTTTCCGGGCACGTGGACGACATCTGATTTGGAAGTTGGCTGTGATGAACCTCAGTTATCTACGTCAAAAGCCTCTATTCATGAGAACATCAATTATTTATTTATTAGCTGAGTTATTTATTTTTGTTCACATCTTCTAACATTGCTTATCGGAAATTGTTTGAATAAAGGATTGAATAATATCAGGCAAGGATTCAGTAACGCAGAAAGGTTTGGGTAGACAGCAAGTAAATCCCACAGGCAACTACACAGATGTCGTGTTATGCTGACCTAGTGACCTGCAGAGAAAGTTATGGTCTAAGCGAAGAAAATGATGAATCAATTGTGGGATGAGTTTCGAGAGAAATGGACTTTACTATCCTGGAAGTATAGACATCTCGCCGAAACAGAGATTTGGTGAGTGCGGGTATTATTTGGGTTGATGAATCGATCCTGCAGTGACAGATGTGGTTGAAGTTTCTCTCCTGACGTATGCATTACTAACTAATTATCAATTTCATAGCAGCCTAACTTTGCATATAGTAGGCAGAGATATATCTGATCCTCTGTAGTTCGGTTGCGTTGCATAATGCCGTCGTCTCGAGTCATGGAGTTCACATCCACTTACCAACGATGTTTGCGCAGAGAATAGGAGTTGTCAGTTTAAAACGCGGTAACTAAACTCACGTCGCCTGAGGAGTGGGGTTGTCAAATACGACAGAAGGACAGCTGAAGATTGTAGAGGCTCATCAACACTCTCTGAATTTATTCTTCACTGTAATGTCGAGCGAGAAGGAAAGGTGCCGGCCGCGAAGCTCTTCCACTGGCTATTTCCACCATCGAGTAATACAAGTGGTGCCCATGTGTTCAATACTTCAATAGTGTACGATGGGATAAGAAGCATAACTTTACAAGACCCACAGGATGGATATGCAAAAGAAAATTAAAATCAAATTGTTCCACCGTGGAACGTGAAGTATCCGTGATTAAACCATTGCACTTTATCAAACTGTTGTGCAGTGTTTATCACTAAGATGAAAGTCTAAGAGTCTTTCGAATGTTGTCATGTCTGGTGCCTTCACCCCATTTCTTGTTAATGCATTCCAGTGAGAACAAATTCTGAGTGGGTAAAAATATTTCTTACACTTCAGACGGGAGCGTTGCGTCATTAATTTCAGACGGTTGCCTCGGTTTTGTTTGTGAGAGGCTAGGGTCAAAAGTGATGTAAATGGATGCTCACTTTCAGTTAGTATCCGGTATGTGAAAGTAAGATCTCCGCAAAGTCGTCGGTATTCTGATGAGAACACACCGCGTACACGAAGATGCAGTTCATAACTTAGACTAGATAGTCCACACGTTGCTTTTGTGGCTCTTCTTTGGGGTTGTTCCAGTAGGCGAATTCCTTGTTTTAACCATGGACACCAAGCCTGAATTGCAAATTCAACGTGAGGGCGAATGTAGGAGTTAATCAGCATCGATACTAGCCGTCGCTCGAAGGTTCCGAGAGCTCGCCTCAAAAGTCTCAAGTTCAAGTTCGCCACACTTGGTGCTTTAGAACATTGGAGCGAATTGCCCAGACTTTCTTGCACGATTGTACCTAAGTCGCGTTCACTTGTCACGTGTTGCGGGACGTGTTGCCCCAAAAGGTGTGTTGATGAAGCTGCTGCGCACCGTCAGCAGGTGGCACTTTGCAGGGTTCAGTTGGAGCTGGTTCCTTACTGCCCATTCGTTAATCCGAGTCTGATCTTCCTGTAGGTAGACACTGTCGGATGCTGAGCGAATTGCTCTCCATATTTTAGCATCGTCTGCAAATATTTGCATCGGAGATAAAACGTCTCCTGGAAGCTCATTAATGTAGACTAAAACCAGTAGTGAGCCGAGAACGGATCCTTGTGGTACACCACTGGAGACGCAGACGCTTTCAGAGTGAGTGTCGGCTACTCTTACCTTGATTGCTCTGTCGTGTAAGTAGTCTTTTAACCAGGTGAGAGAGTTCGTTTGATTGTGGTCGCTATGCTCACTTCGTACGGCAGTCCACGTTCTTGTTTGCTATACCCGGTGCCGGTCGAACACGATCGTTGCTTACAAGTAGTCAACGCCCTGTGTACACGGTGTACACATATGCGGCCTGTTGATCTCTAGTGCAATAATTGTTATCAGTGTTATAGAATAGGATGAACCGACAGACTCAGGTTTATAATGCTTCTCTGTATGTAAGCGAATACATTCGCGAGCCTGGGCAGTAAGATGAAGTAAAATACGGGTTGAAAATGTTGCTGCATCTAACCTTACCAATCAATAGCATCCGGATTATAGCTGATTAGTACAATGGGTGGAGGGGGAGGTACTCGGTGACAGTAAACCGTCCACATAACGCATCAGAGCGCGATCATTCGGCTTTGAAAAAACAGTCACCGAATTCATTCTGCATCTAATCAAGCTAACTGCAAAATCAGGGTTTTTATGGAACCTGTTTCTAACCCCCTAAGATAGTTTCTGGTTTGAGGCGGGATGATTTGCACCCGAGGTAAGCTCCAAGTTTCACATGACGATGGGATAGATGGCACAGTATACTGAGAAGTTGTAAAGCACAAATCCGTGTTTGAAACCCATGGAATCAGAGGGGAGGCGTGTTGTCGTCGTCGACTGTTGTGGTTTCCACTGACTGTACGAATAGCCTGCCAGAAACTGTTGTGCCGCCTCCAACCGGTCCACCCCGCAACAAAATGAGAACACCAAGATCTGCCGGACTGAGGAATTCATATCACAGGAGAGCATAGCGCAATAAATAGATTGAAGACAACTACTAACACAACGATATTGGAGATGCTAATTAATGCTAATTAACACAACTAACACGGTTCAAGTTCACAGTTCAACATATCGCTGACCCCACATTGATTGGCGTTTTCATCTCTTCTCGAGTTCGAGTGTGGAATTCTGTTTCTCCATGCAATTTTACAAGCTTTGGCGTGAATCAGTGACGCCAAATCGACTTGATTCTCAGATAGTGTAATTTTCCTCGGAGCAGGCCGTTCGAGACCTAACATCGACTGTCAAGAAAGTAAAGTTGGTTTGCACTTCGGTAGATATGTCGAGCTTCTCTGACCAGGTGAACAAACCTAAACAACAGGAAATAGTATGTAGCTGCGAACACCTGCACAATGCAAGATGGACGGTAGTGCTGTTTGTCGTAGACACACTCTGGTTAATTCATCGACAGTCCAAGGTAACGTTTGTTTATTAGTGGCTCTGGTTTGTGCAACGGTGACCCAAACGACGTCACCTACTAGTTTCAGCCAGTTAAGAGTAAAAAACGACCTGACGAATTTGATACTTACGCCAATTTACTCGAGATGCACGCGAAGTTCTAGCTAGGGGTTTTGATTTCACTATCTTGGCAGATAGCAGACAGTGTGGTCAGACTTACGCCTCACTTGTAGCTGGACACGCCACAGCGCTTGACCCATTGAGTTCTCTGCGAAACACACGTATTCACCAGCGTCATCGGCCTGGACGGGATCGAATTCAATTTGGTTTCCCTTTGGGTGAAGGAAAGCGAAAAAGGTATTCAATCAAAACGCTAAGAAATAGAAAGCGCATGTCCATCGGTCCCTTTAGCACAACCAGTGAGGCAGCTGAACACACATGTCCCTGTGGACAGTGCCTATGGAAACGGAGCACATAGCCATTTGATCAGAGAAACAGTGTAATATCGTGCACTTGTTCCATCCTTGTTTACTCGCTTCTAAACGAGCAAGTTGGTTCTGCAATGTTTTTTTCACAAACAGGCTATCTGGACAACGCAAGTGTCACGTACGCAATTGAGTGTCGATTCGTAAACAAGCGCTCATATGGTTGGTTGAGAACGACCTTGCCTTACTTTCCTTATTTCATTGGTTGTCCTTTCCGGCTTTTCTAGCCATTGTAACGCAGAATGCTTTTAGTAAATCGGTTCCACACTACCCGTGCGCATTCTGTTCTGTTCATCGGCTAAGGGCTATACTTAACAGCAGGTTCGGAGTGCACGGAACTCCAAACAAGCAACTATAATCCACACATTGAGTAAGGGATAGAGCGCAAACAATTCAGTCAAAACATGAGGATTGATTACAACCGCATTTCTACCTTGCTCTAGGGTTGTAGATTTCTGATGATTCGGGGAAACAAACAGCCAAAAATCTAAGAGTTCATCTTGATGACACAAAGCTATTTTGGTCTGTTGGATAAGTTATGGTGGAAAGTGCATCATGGAAGATACGTTCAAAAGGTTGCGATTTATAACGGACTACTGAGAGTGGCCACCTGGTATGTGGTAGGCCGACTGATTTGATATTCGAGGGCGTTCCGTTCAATCTAAATCGAAGACACTGCCACCGGAGAAAACGTAACGTATCGTCAGTAAGGATTGTTAAACCTAGGTACATCAATCACACCATTTGATTTGGATTATTTTACTACAACTAGTGTGAATACCTCGGTGTAACAGCTCAGCGTATCATGTTACCGAGAGTTGCGGAAGTAATGTAAGTAGAGTGTTCACAGTGGCCAACATAGCCTTGGGCGAAGAGCATGATGTGAATGATTTAAGTTGGAGCCTTGTCCAAAACGAACTGAAATGCGAGGTAGCCGGGTGCCAACTGCAAGGTACCATTTTACGCGTCAACTGGTGTCCTGGGGACAAGTTCTATTCAAGCAGTTCAGGGACCGTCCGGGTGTCTAAAGCGGAATAACAACACACTTGTGTTCTAGGGTTGAAACAAGTCAATCTCTCTACTATGTGTGTGGTAAGTACTAAGCAAGTAAGTTGCCAGCCGTACGCCGTAATGGCACTTCGCTGCCGTGCGACCACCACCAGTCACGCGCGGGCTGAGTATACCGCGAGGACGCCCGCCCCTACGCGGATTCGAATCGGTGACCTTATGCTTGCAAACCAGGCGCGCAGACCACTCGGACACCGGCCGACACGTGTGTGATGGTTCATTCAGAATTGCGTGTTTGCACTCGGAGTTTAATCGATTTCCTTATGAATGGCAAAGACAATATGAAACTCGGTTGGATGCAACCGCCCCATTTACCTATAACAATTGGCTATCGAATTGGATGGCATGCTGTACTTTAGCTGACACAAGCGAGATGTCACTGAAGTGTTTTACCGGCCCAAGTCAACCCTCCCACAAAACATGTAGCCAGACGCTTACATGTGAAAACATAAACTTATCAAACCTGAGCCTTTCACATTTTTGCCGTTTTTCAGCATTTTAACACGAGAGTGGTCATGAGAACGGCCGCGCAGGGGCCTGACAGGTTATGCCTGACTTGTGTCGTACCATCCATAGCCCTAGCACATGCCCCACATACAGCACAAGCGCAATGGATTAATACCGGAAAGCACCCGGAAGAGGGGAGCCACAATTGATCCGGTATTTATCGGCATTTGTTCGAAAAACACACCAAAACACTAGCAACAAAAGCGATACAAACCTCAATGATTACTCTTCTAATGTCAACAGTATGAGGACAATGAACAGTTTATCTCAACAAGTCAGACTGCAAACGGTGACTGTGCAAATGACTGCGCCTCACATGGCATATTTATCTGGCAAGTGAACCCATGGGACGCGATAGTCGCACTAATGATATGGTGCACCGCGCTGTACGTGTGTGAGAACGAGCCCACTGCATGACACGCGAACTAAAGTGCAAGTGATATGCAATGGCAGGGCAGCTCGACACACGAAAGTGTCACATGAGAAACGCACTGCTTAAAATGCAAGGAACAATATAGCCGTCTAGAGTGTCGACGTAATTACTTCTCCTTTCGGGTTTGTCAACCCTGGAACGTACTCCCAGACCCAGTTGTATCCTCTCCTATCTTGGACGCTTTCAAAAAACGAGCAGATGTTTCTCTTATTTCCCAGCAGTTTGTTACCTAAATCCCCTATTTTGGATTACGCCAAGCATACTTTTCTACATGATTTATTTATCAAATGGACCCAAGTGAGCGATCCTATTTTACTTTTCTAACGCCTTATATCAACGCCACTGCACCCCAGTGTATTTCTGAACGTTTACGCTCGACTTGTTTAATTTTAAGCTGATGTTATTTATCCAAGTATTCATCTCGGCAGACGTTTGGTAGATGACCCACATATATTTTGAGTTCATCGTATTCACTCCAACCATCCTACGGGATGTGTCAAGTACTCGCTTTTACCCCGTGATAAATCATTGTTCATTGTTCATCATCATCATCAATAAACACACTACCTAGAGGTGGAAAACACCTCATCTACTGTGCTGCAGGAGTCTGTGGGCGATAATGAGATCATGGAATGACACTATAATGAGGCACCGGGGCTGTGGATGGAAGAAAAGGAGGGGTGGCCAAGCGATGACTTGGTCGAGAGCAATGAAGGGCCTCATTTCGAAGTTGGCCTCGGTTGGAGCTTCACGGCTCACTGGTTGGGGTCCAAAAGACGATGAACACGTTTGGCTAGATACACTTGCTGACATGGCAAGGAGCCGACCTCAGTGGAGTTCCAGTTGTGAGTTTCTTAGTCCTTCCCCATCCCCGTTAGCCTCCCGCTGCAAGCACGATCTCATTTCGTGCATAATATAATTTCACACCGGAATTTGGTTTGCTGCATAGTAGCCGGCTGCTAGTTTTGCAGAACGATGCCCATTCGTTACTGGTAGCTCAGCTGGTATACAACTGTTGTATTTCTATTCTTTTTCTTTTATTTATTGCGGCACAGTACCTGAGGTGTTTTACACGTCTAGCTAACGTGTATAATGATGAATGATGATGATAGCGAGACACAGTAGCGCGAAGACTGTAAACAGATTAAAACTGACTCAGTGGCTTAAGCTGCTGGGTAGTTGCCATCTGCCTCTAGCGGTCATGGGTTCGATCCTCCTTAGAGGACCGAGGGAATGAGTACCAATGAATGCCCCGATAGGGCGAAACTCTCATTTTTGACCGGTGCAAGAAAATAGGGCTGTACACCCTAGATTATCGTCGAATGAGGGTAGACCTCATCATGACGCACCAGATATCACATCTGGGTGATTACCCTATGTTGAGACCACTGCTTCATCTGCGCAAATCAAGCAGCACACGAGGACACCGGTATAAGCTTGTTGTACCGGATTTGAACCGTGTCGCTCACCAACTCTGTTTCGAACGCAGAGTGGTGAATGTATGAAAGGACCTGCCGCAGCACGTAGTAAAGGCAAACACAGTGTCGGAATTTAAGAAGTTCCTTGACAAATATTTTGCAGACGCAAAATATATTGAGCGAAACACAACATAACGGGTACATGTTCATGAGTGACGATTGATGCAGCTACACAGAGCAAGCTCTACTCGCTGCTCCTAACCAGTAATCAGTACAGAAGTCGCACAGGGAGCGGTTTGTTTGTGGCAATACAGTAAAACCTCTGTAAGTTGACTACTCAAAGGATCGGACCAAAATGTTCACTATAAGAGGTGGTGTACACATGAGGTCATGTGCAAAAGCTTAGCGTGCCGTATTTTCCCGGTGTGATTAGTACGGTAGAAACACTATTTTCACGTGCATCCTGTTTCGAGTAATTTAGTTGAGCTTTTACATAATGGTAAACACAATTTAAGCACACAGTATTATAATAAATAAAAGACAATGTGATTTCCTCAAGGTTTAATTATTTTTGGAGGAAAGCATTCTTTGATTGTTGCACCTATCACAAACGTTATTGAATAGGCCAGCTTGGAACTACTTAATCGTTGAAAAGACACGTCTGGCTCGAGAAATGAACAGTATAGCAATTTGCCAAGATATGAATGTCCCGACATATTATTCAGAAAATGGCTCAATAAAAGCTTGGGGAATTCGGTCAAGGACCGCACGCCCAGTATGTGCCAATGTTTGTATAGTTATAGTGATTGTTTTGGTAGGCTACACCTCGCATATAAACATCATACACACGTATGGTTCCTTGGATGCCAGAGATGAACAGTTCAGAAATATCCAAGGTCGAGAGACCCAATGACAACAGATGTTTTACTGACGCAGGATAGGTATATTTCCTATTGATTAAGATGAGTGGATGGTGCACAATAGAGGAGGTTGCCGAGAATGCAGTTTGTGGGTGGTTTCTGATGGCCGCCGCGTGATCACCGACGCCGTGTTTAACAACTTTGTTTTGTCAAGGTTGAGCCATCCAATGTGTGTCACATACAGCAATAGGTAGTAGCGTCCTGGTTGATGGACAGATCTGGCTTGATGTGGGTCGTTGGTGTGGGGCTACGTGGTTCTGGAATGGCTGTAGCTCCCCGACGGAGTAGAATCGTTGTAACTTGGCTGGCAATGTCATTGCATCGTTTGCAGCGTGCATCATGGGTTACATTGCAAGATCGCAGCACGTGAGAGACTGAACCGTGTTGGCCACATGAGCCGCAGCAACTGTGATCGGACGGGGAACACAGTGGTCTGTCTCTGGCTTGTCTGACTTTGGCATGAAGGGCGTCTGCGCGTAATTGAGTTGCCCTGATAAATAG